GGCTTGAAAGCTCTTGTGAAAGCCAGTCAGTTTTGCACTAACACCTAACTCACTCAGCTCTCTGAGGCTAGTGCTTTGTTTCCTGCCTGGGATGTGCAAATGTTTCTCTCTCCTTTATGTCCTCTTTCTACCCCTTGGCTGTGTCTCACTCCCCTCTCCTCAGTCATCCTGACTGAGGATGACTTGGAGCCTACAGACCAATCACTTTACTGTAGTACGGACCACAGACAACAGCTTTACAGGAGGACACTACCTCTTGGTTCTTCATGAAGCAGGATGGAAACTGGTTACCCAAAACTTTTTTTTTTTTAACTCTGATATTTTGGTTGTTTAAACAAAAGTCAGTAAGACAGGAGATACTAATTCTGTAGGAAGAAATAACTGTTTATAACCAGGATTTCCAGATGACTACTTGTAAGAGACTGCTTTGAATCTTTTGTCTCGACATTGTTGCCATAAGTTAGGACTTTTTGACCTAAGCATCCCATCTATCAGCTCGAGGTGTCTTATCTCCGTACAATTAATGACTCCTTGGCTTTGGCTCTGGGAAGACCTTGATGTCGGCTCCAGGTGTTTCATCTCCCTACTTATTATCTACTTATCTACTAATTATCTACTTCTTGACCTTGGCACCCCACCTCTGGGAGGACAGTGAGACTAACACGAGGCCCAAACAATGCCAAGCACTGTCTATGGAGTGGCGCTGGCACTCGAGTTGGGGGAAGAGGAGCACCAGAGCACGTAGAGAAGTGGGGCAGACTCTGCAAGAACAGGGACATAAAAAGACTGCATATTTCCCCCCACCTCGGGGGGCGTGCAGTGGCTTCTCCCCAGGTGTGTGCAGTTTCTTCTGGGGTGCACAGCTTCTTTCCTGGGACATCACCTGCAGCAAGGTGCATGCGGGATATCACAGCACCGAGCCACCTCTGCCTGCGCCAAAGCAGAGCCAACAACACTTATCTGAACTGGTGGTGGTGATAACTATAATCCTGCTACATCTCTCCCTCCTGCTTGCTTATCTTTCTTTTTTTTTTTTTTTTCCTCCTTCTCTCTGTTCTATTGCACTTACGAGAATAAAGCTTACAAGGTCGTATGGCATTTGACCTCGTTTGTGTCTTCATCTCGCTCGTGGGATCATATTGAATCCTCCTCCAACACTGGATTGGGACATTTTTATTGGTGTCACGAACAGGATCCCTGGAGGCAAGAGTGCCCTGCCACCTTGCTGTGAAACTTTGATGTTAATACAAGCTACTGCTAGGAATGCACTGGACACATACATCCATGTAGAACTCTTCTAGTAGAGATCAAACATACTTGCGTGTCAGCCTGAGATTATCTTCTGCAGCAACCTGACTTTTTGTGACAACACTACCTGTCATATCAATCTCTGCATCTTTCTGCATTGATTGGCCTAGCAACCTGTAAAAAAATCCTACCTTCTCTGGAGAGGATGGCATCTTCTGAACTGAAGAAAAACACTCAGAGTAGACTGAAGTGTGACACCGTGTTAATACAGAATGATAACGCAGTCTTTGCTCAGTGTAGCTAATAAAGGAGACTGCAACACTGGGCATTCAGTAACTGCCTGAAAGGACTACTGACTTATAAATTTAGATAGGACAGAAATTCAGAAGTCTTCAGTGCTGCTGAACATGCCTCTTCATTTTTACACATGTGGCCCACAGTAACAGCTACAGGGAATCAACATGACTCAAGTCAGACTGGAACAGGCTGCCCAGAGAGGTTGTGGAGTCTCCTTCTCTGCAGATCTTCAAAACCCGCTTGGATGCAGTCCTGTGCCACGTGCTCTAGGTGACCCTGCGTGTGCAGAGGGGTTAAACTACATGATCTCTAGAGGTCCTTTCCAACCTTAATGATTCTATGATTCTATAAATATGTCAGCCAAGAGAGAAAGCAACTCCTTGATTCAACACTAAAAGCTATTGCTGTGCATGAAGACAAACCAGAAACATACAATCCTGTCTGACCCCTGTGCCTTACATACATGCAGTAGAACATCCGGGGCAAACTGAGATAATGCTTAAAGCACATAGGGCAACAGGAGTAACTGTATCTTAAAAGCTACAGATAATGTTTCATGTCTTCAAACGCGTAACAGTTGAGCATACAGAACACAAAAACAGAATCTTTTCCAAATTGCAAGTAAATAGTATAAGAAAGAACAGACAAGTTGCAACAAGGGAAATATGAAAGATCTGAGAAAGAAAGATTTTACACCAAGAATAATGAAACATTAAAACATGTCCCCTACATATGTTGTGGAATCTCCAGCTTTTGGGATATTCATAATTCGTCAGATCCTGAACAATCTGATTGAAATTGTGCTTGCTTTAAGTGACAAGCAGGACTTCCAGAAGGCACTTCTGAATTATTTCTTACTAGTACAAGCTATTAAAGTTTGTGCAGTAAGACACCCAAGACAAGTGTTCTGTTGGTAAAATATATAGTTCATGCGTACATATCTTTTGTTTTTTAAAGAAGTCTTATTGCTTTATTTGAATTTTGACCAAATTAATTTTTACTTTAATGTAAGTTTTGTTCAAGATTTATGTAGTAACCATTGCATATTTTTAAGCAGATATCAACTTTACCCACATAGACCCAAATGATAATAGAACTGAATGACACTTTTGCGAGCAGTACAACTTTTTCTCTGTATAATGAAGAACCTTTGGAAAAGGCATTTCTGGCTTTCAATTTAGTTTTGTTTTGTTTGTTTTTTTTATATAAAAACAACGCAACTTTGAAACATTCTGTGGTTATATTTTTACACAATATGAGAATACAGGATGGCTACAATTTCCAAATACTCTTGTGAGAAACTTCTAAGATACCTACGAACCATATTGTATCTTCTCTTACTTAAAAGTGCATACACATTCAAAAATTTTTACACATTTCTCAGCCATTTTTAACACACACAACTCCAATGAGGTGTCTTGTTCTCCAGAGGAAAAGAAGGTAATTAAAACAGATTGACTATTTAAAGAAGGGTTCATTATAAAACATGCTACATTTTTTTTCCTGCAGAGTCAGACCAAAAGGATTTGCTGACAAGTCTCTTTGGGAGTCTTAGTATCAATGGTGGTCTCTCTGGATTCTCTAGAAAGGAAGTCCTGGGAGAAGGCAGCTGACTGGATGCTGCTGCTTGTACTCGTTGAACATGGCTAGCTGTAATTCCTGTGTGAGATGTATTGCTACTATTAGCCACTGCTGCAAGACTCTGATCAGCTGATGTTTCCTGAACCTTGACGTCACTATTTCTAAAGTCACCAACTAAGTCCTGTCTTGCGGTAGCAATACTACGGTTTTTACCCATTATTCCAGTTTCTTTGCTGACCTTATAAATATCCTTACATTCTGCCTCTCCCAGAAAAGAAGAGACAGACTCATTTTCTCTCTCATTTACCTGGGTTGAGCCTGTCCAAGTAATACTACTGTCACACTCAATACTTTCTGGCTCCTTGTCACTATCACTATCAATTGTAATTACAACCGGAGAAGAATGTACTGAGTTACTCAGCTGGTGTTTCCGGTGTTTCTTCTTGTGCTTTTTCTTCTTCTTTTTATGATGTCTCATTGTGTCTGTCATTTTTCCTTCATAAACTATCTCCACACTTGGACTCCTGGTCTTCTTCTTCTTCTTCTTATGCTTTGTCTCACTACTTGCTTGGTTGTCTGAAAGGCTATTTTCGTTTTTGTAGCAGTCACTGAATTTTGACAAAGTTTTCTTGGGGTCATTTTCTTTCTCTAGAACCGTACTCTCCTTGTCTGCAGTCTCCAAGTGGCGGGTTTTATACTTTCTTTTTCCACCAGGCTTTTCACTTTTCATTCTGTCAGTCCCTCCAGATGGTGTCCTGGACCTATTACTTGATCGGCTCCTGGACCTGCATCTTTCATAATAGTAATAATGTCTCTCATGGAGTCCTCTCTGACTACGTGGATCTGTCCTTTCAGTAAAGGATTGTATCCTGTATTCTGGACTAGCAGATTGTCTTGAATAGTGAGCTCTAGATTGAGTCTTCCTCCTATAAGACGATTCATAGCCATCTCCAACCACATTTCGACTATAAAAAGTATAACCCCATTGGTATCTACTTTGATAGTTGTCTCTTACATAATAATGATCACTGTCTCTGCTTCTCGATCTTCTTTTGCTATGGCCCTTGCTACGCGATCGTGATCTGCTTACTTCCCTGGATATTGTGCTCTCACGACTTAGAGAGCCTCTCTGGCTTTTTCGAGAGATGCTAGAATCACGAGTTCTTGACCTCCTCTTGTTTCTTTTGCTTCTATGTTTGCTGCTATCTCTGCTTTCTGATCGTTTCCTTTTGAATCGGTCTTTGCTGTGATGCTCCTTCCTCGTTCTGTGGCCAAGACTTCCTCTGCTGTGCTTTGAATAGGACTGTGGACTCTTGGACCTTCTCTTTCTGGACAGTCTGTGATCACAAGGAGAACGCATCCTGTCTCTTCCTGAAGAAGGGCTCCAGATCAATTCCTCTGCAGATAGATTTTTTATTTTACTTTTGTTGTCATCATCTTTTGATTCTATCTTCTCAATTGCAGGGGAGAAACGGCTTTTACAGCTACCTAGGTTTTCATTATACGTAGGGGAGTGTGGTGAGGAACTCCTGCTTGGTTCACTGTCACTGCAACTGTGGAACTGGATTGGCTGCTGTTTCTTAACATCTTCCCTTCTCTCTTCCTTGACTGATTCCTCAGAATCCGAAGACAATTCAACCAGTTCTGGTGTCCTCTCAGCTATAGGCTTAACATACCCAACAATAACACAGTTGTCAGAAGAATAGTCACTGTCATTTGAATCAGCATTAGCCTGCAACTGAGTTTGCATTTCAGTTCTTTTTGTTGCGGAGTCCTCATCGGAACTTTCTGAAGTCTCCAAAGAAGAAGCGATGGTTGCATGAACCTCTTCCGAGATGGAATATGAGGGCCCTGGAGTTTCGTCATCCCAGGGAGCTTGATCTATACCAGTCATGGAGGAACTGCGATCTGGACCTTGAGAATCTGCTTCATCTGGAGATATTGTAATAATTGATGAATCTGAGTGACTTCCTTCATCATATGATGGAGCAGGACAGTCATAATTGGCATGCTGATCATACGCCTCTAGGTTAAAAGGACATCGGGCAAAACTGACAAATTCGTGTAGGAAATGTTCAGTACGATTCAGCAAAAATGGCTTTAAATCATCAGCAAAGGCCTGGCTTTCCAGATCATACCTCGTCACATTACTCATGATGATATGCTGTACAATGTTAACCAAAGATCCATGGGCACCAAACAGGACTGTAAGTTCCCGCTTCAACCAGGGAACCAACCTGTGAAGGCAAGCAGGGTTCCGGCGGAAAAACTCTGCTGAAATATCTCGATAGCGGCCACCATCCTGAATACTACGAACACGCACACCGGTGCGATAGAGAGCTCTGCGGAAGTTGATCATGTCCTCCTCCTGAATCTGCCGCAGAGACCTGCCCTCTGCGCTAGCTTGCCTCCTTGAGGCAAGCCTCCTTATCATCTGCTGAATCTCTCCATCTCTCTGCCGCACTGGTTCGCTTGACAGCCCTTCAAACAATATCCCATTATCAGGAGGGGACAGCGTCCTTCGAGAAGAGGAAGTGTGACGATGGTAAGATGAAGTGCGACGTTCCCTTGTTAACGTAGTACGATAACGAAATCTCCGGCCATCAGGGCTGGCAAAAGAGCCGTTTTCTGATGGTCTGAGTATGTACTCCTTAAAGTCATCCTCAGCACGAACTGTATGGAAAATGGAATGGAACGGTTGTTTGCAGAGCGGACATTCTGCCTTGTTTTTTGACCATTCCTGGACACAACGGAAACAGAATTTATGCAAACAACGATCTAGATATGCAACGTTGTCGAATCTGTCCAAGCAGATAGGGCATTTGGAGTCAGGAGATGCATCTGTTGGCACTGTCTGATGCAGTTTGCTTGTGCTAGCTTTTGGAGAGAAGTTGTTATCCACTTCAAATTCTGACGAAGACATGTTCTAAAAAAGAGAAACACCAGAACATCATTAGCCTTCCTGAGATGAAAGAATATGAAAGTCTAGGCAAAGAAACCTGTGCTATTTTTCCTTTAGGTTGTAAAAAGCAATGATAAGCTTTGACAAGATATTAAAGAAAAAGACACGATGATGTAAGTCCTTTTCTTGTCTTCTCCTTAGAATACTGCTTCTATCAAGAAGTTAGAAGCCATAGTTAAATTCCATCCCAACACAGAAAAAAAGCAAATGACTGTGAAAGTTGCCCAGACTTAGGAACCGCAGTTCCAGCAATCCTGCTTTACCCTCTGAGGTAAACTAATCTGCCTTCCCTAATAAGTGCAGAACTGTCCTCCCTCCTACATTTTTTTCAAGCCCTTGTTTAAACTACAATCTATTTTAAAGGAAAGTAAGAGCCTGTGTGACCATGTATTCAGCAGAGCTTCTATCTTGTTCTAAAACAGCTACTCACTTATGGAGGTGGACCTACCAGAAATCTCAGTAACTGACAAGTACTGTTAGCCAAAACATCGTTTTTATTCTCATTCTTAGGCATCCAGCCTTGACACTGGTGTTTGTTCCTTCTTATTTGGAAAGGAACACTTTTTTTTGCTTTTCAACTCCATATTCTTCTTTTATGAATGACACCTTTTCGCACTGCACCTTTTTGTTTGGCAGATAGTTCCTTGCTGCAGACTCTGCCTACAAAGCTCTTCAGGGATGATGCATAAGGGTAACTGACTGGCATTGTATTTTCAGGGAAAGTCTCCCAACAGTCAGCACTCTGTAGTTTCTGCCCTGCTAGAAAGTATATATAAAGTAAGATGCATCAAATATGAACATGGAAAGCAACATATACACATAGTAAGGGTTATGGTTAGTAGATGGACAACAGTCATACAAAGCAGCTTCAAAAATGGTCCCAGAAACACATACAAGAGATCACTACCAGCACACCTGCAGTGAATTCTTTATGATATCATAGCAAAATAATACATTTTTTTTGTTGAATCCACAAAGATATTTCTGTCAGCTAATACCTGAAGTGATGAGATTTAGCTCATCTACATTTGAAACGCGTAATTTTTAAAATACTAAAGCACATCCAGGTCTCGCTCTTTCTGTCAGCACAAGCAGAGCTTAGAGCATGGCACAATTTAACTGGAACTTGAAACACGCTGGCATTTTTGGCGACTACACACAGGCTCTTGTCCTCCTCCCCACCCTTAAGTCACTGTTTTGCCACTATTCTTTTCCAACACCGTTGTCATCAACAAGGGTTAATCTGGGGCACACTTCCCCCCCAAAAAAAGTGATTCAGGAGAAGGAACAGAACATGCGGCGCCCCCGCCGCC